AAACCACTAAGTAGTTGAATACTAAATAGTGGAGAGAGTTAATCTTCCTCTTTCCTACAGCTAAACAGTGAGTGACAATAGAAATTTTGTCCTGGAGGTAAAACTCTTTGTATCTGGTACAAATTAAAGAAAAACCTGCCTGGAGAAAGTGTGAGGTCCTGAGAGAGAAGCACACAGAAGACTTAAGACAAATTTTAACTACTACACAGGTGAGGTGGAAGGAGGAATTAGAATCACTCCCAGTTAGAAATTGAATCATGCTCCGTTAATATTTGTATACATGTATATATGTGTATATAGACATTATATATGTGTGTGTATGCTTATATACGTGTACATATGTGTGTATATACAAACAGATACATAAAAAACACAAACAAAACAAATACTTTTGGAAACATACAAACAACCAACATCCACATCTTGCCTCTTAATAGTGACTGGCGTTTCTGGTCAAGACAGCTTTAACCTCCATTTAGTCTTGTGTTTTTCTAAATAATATTTCCTAAAACAACCAATCATTGAATTACTTCCACTTCCGGTGAGCATGTAACCAAAACCATGGTTAAATTCTCCCAAACCATGTAACATAACCCCTAATCCTGTAGATAGTTTTTTCTAACACTCTCTTCCAAAAAATCATGAAATAGGTGATCAAAATTGAGATATGAAATAGAAAGAATTAAATGCAGGGAAATGAGACTGGTTAATTTATTACTTCATCTTTTGTGGAGAATATTACTAAAAGTTGAAGAAAGAAGACATAAAAGTTAAAAATACAATTTAAGGTTAAGTTTACTACACTAAAAACTAAAAATAAATAAGTAAAACTATTGTATTTGCAGCAGAGATAGTCTAAATAAAATGAATTCTCATTCTCTATTTAAGGAAATGAAAAGAGTTAGTTTAATATTGACAAACCAGGAAAGGGAGATACCACACAGGATTTAAAACTGGAATATTAAAATCAGTGTGATGAATATAATGAACTTTATCAATGACTGCAGAAGAAGAATAAAAATAAAACCTTGGAGAAAAGAAGATTTACCTTATATTTCGTAGACAGCTGCATGCATTTTTGACTATATGTGTCTATTACTTTTATAATTTAAATAAATAATGCTATGCCCATAATACACAGTACTTTTCAATAATTTTAAAAAAGCATGTGTACATAAGAGGAAGTGAAAAATCAAGTTTCATAGAAATATGTGTAATGTGATCTCATATTATATATATATATATATTTGTATAAAGTACATGTTACATATAAAATGCATTGTGTGTTATAGGAAATGTATATATTGTATGTCTTATTGGATATTCTTATTTAAAAACAGTCATCTCTTGGAGAGCAGATACAGTTAGCTATGGTTAGAATAGTAGCTGTGGCTATGAAGAGAAGTGAATGAATTTGATAAAGCTTTAGAAAATGTAAGGTTGAATGATTTAATAAGGGGAATAAAAGAATAGTAAGACATTAAAGAAAACTAGCATTTTGTCTTGTACACAAGATGCATAATTCCAGTAGTTAAAGGAAAACTTTTGGAAGAAGAGTAAATGTTTCCTGTTTGTCTGTTAGCAATAATGTTTAATTGTGAACAAATTAAATATCAATTTGTATATAGTGCATCTAGATGGGCATGCTCAGTAGATAATTGAATATACAGGCTTCAGTCCTAGAAAAGAAATTTAGCTTACTGATATTGATAGTTGTTCTCTTTTATGGCTTTATTAGGTAGTTGGCAGCATGGAGTATATGAGATTTCCCTGGAAGACCAGGAATAAAAGAGACACACAACCCTGAGCACATAAATATTCGAGGTTCAAATGGTATTAGCTACAGATACCTTACATGGACTAAAAGTAAGAAGAGAAAACATTTAAATCTCTAACACTTTATCAGTCAGAGGTCAGTCAGGGAAGCAGGATTTGTGCATGGATTTGACTTACCTTACTGGGAATAATGGTTAAACAATCTCTGTACAATTACTTCCGTATCCAGTGCTGGAGCTTGAAGTACACAGGGCACAGACAGGAAAGGAAAATGGATCTACAGTCAGGCAGCATAAGGAAAAGCTGAAACCTGGGAACAGGAGCTGAGTGGGCCTTTTCTTCATGAGGGCACAATGGAACTATCTAGATGGTAGCTGAAGAACCTGGTGCCCATTGTCACTGAGTTAAACACACCCTGCCCCAGGAGTCAGAGAAACTAAAGGAGGACTGGGAATATGAAGAGATTGCAAGGTAGAACCCCCACCTCAATAAGTGAGCAGCAGTTAAGGGCAACATGCACGTATTACAAGTTGCCAACCTTGAACTTTGCTTAGACAAAATGGCTGCTGATTTATTCTTGCCTGCCAAATCTGCTGTTAAAACATTTCTTGGTGCCCATTTTAGCCAGAAACATCCAGAGAATTTTGGGAAATGTAGTTGAATCTGGACAAGTTGGCATTTAAAAAAAATATATAATTTATTATATTTTTTTGGGGGGGGGGGCGTGTACTGGGGATCGAATTCAGGTCATTTTGCTTGTGCAGCAGGAGGCGAAACCACTGAGCTAAATCCCCGGCCCAAGTTGGCATTTTTAAAAGATGTCAAATTTAGTTACAATTTTTTAAAAATGTAAAACTGTTAGTGCCTGCATATTCTTTTGGTTCTGGTTCTTTTCTTAGCCTGTGAAATTCCCAGAATTTATCTTTGAGTACTGTTAATCTATATTTCTGAAAGAAAAAAAAACCCCCAGAAATCCAGCCACTTCACACAACTTTATATCAAACTTGAATTTCCAAGTGCACCTGATGTCATAGAGGCTTCAGGAAGTAACCTAGTGTCTCACACAAAGCTGAACAATTTTTGTTGAGTCCTGGATGAATAAATGGCTTTCTAAATTGATTTATGTTGTATTAAACTACAAAATAATGAAGGTAGTATCAAAAGTAATATGGAACAGCAACAGAGATACAGATTCCAAACCACTTTGTAAATTTTGTTTCTATTACCCTGGTCTGGGTAAATTACTTAATTATTTTCTGAGCTTTCATTCCCATGCATTTTACATTTGATTAGTGCTATTATTGCTCACAAGGTGGTTGTGAGAATAAAATATCTATCAAAATGCATATTATTTAGCTGTCACCCAACAGATATTAGATGCTACTGATAAATCTCGATATCCAACAGGAGAATATTGACCTCCTGATCTGAGACGAAACTAAGTAAAAATCAGAGGCGAGCAGGTAGAGCAGTTAGATTTGGCAGTATGTCACTGAGTAGGCATATCAGCACAGTCCAGGAGTATGGAACTGTACTTCCCTAAAAATGAATACACACATACACAGATGTATATGCAAATATATATATATATATATATGTTCTTTTTAATTTCTTCATGTTTTATTTTGCTTTTGAATCCACAGTCTCCCTTATAGCAAATCTTTAGTTTTGTCACATGTGCTACTATTGCATGGGGGATAGCAGACAGCAGGTGAGAGGGGAAATCAGTAGTGCAGAGAGGAAGCAGAGAGGCATATTTGTATATAAGTTATTATTAAGTAATGTACCGCTAATAAAAATTGAACATTAGTTAATAACTGTTTTCAGAAGGCTCCAATCTGCAAGCATGCTGTGACTTGACACTGTTACAATTGTTGCCTGATATAGACTCTTCACTACAACCACTTCAGGAGTACGGAAAAAAATGACTAAAACTAAGGGACTTAGAAACTATTTGCAAATTCTTATTTAGGTAAAAACCTTTTACCATGATCCTACTGTTGATTTTAACATGTGTATCTTTTTCGAGCCATATTTCAATGTAATGTTCATCCTATTATTTGGTGGGAATTTGTTCTGTTTTCCTCAACATCACTAACTTGCCATAGCCTTTGTTTTTGTCTACTGGTTACAAAAGCAGTATACTATTCTGTTTTTACCTTCTGTCCTTTACCTTCTTTTTCCTACCAGAATGGAAGACTCCTATCTACATAGATTTTCATGGTTGGAAATATGGGAAGACATTATGATGCTAAAAGTTTGACCTACTTTACACAAGTTTTCTAGTAACAATCACCTGCTTCTTCTTTGCTATGAAAACTTTCTTGTACCTTTATAAACCTCTTCCTATTTCACCTCTTTCAAGTATTCAGAGTTACAAAAGTGAATCACTAAAACAGAGTAGTCTATTACTACCTTAGCTACTTCAATATTACTGATGTCTAGCTTGATCTACCAATTTTATGATAAAAACCATATTTGGATTCCACTAATAATGAATTATTTAATTAAATTATGATTCTACAATTTCTAGGGTGTAATATTCATCTTGTAGATCATTTATTTTAGATAATCATAGTTTAAACCCAATGCAATTGCTCTTCAGGCTAGTGTACATAGGTCTGTGGTGTAAGTACTAACAATATGCCCCAAATACCAGATCTCTTGTTAGGGATAAAAAATAATTCAAGTTTAAAATCTTTTTAGCAAATTATTTGCCACATGGCTTTTTTCCTCTTAAAAATGGGCTGTGTAATTGCTGCCTTTCACATCTGAAATTGGCACTAATGATGGCTGATTCTCTCCCCAATTGCAGGTGTGAAAAGACCGAAGTGTGAATTAAATTCCTACCCACACACCTCACACATAAAGCTTGGCTCTCAGTACTCTTCCCAACAGACCCTGTGTCCATAATGATAAAGCATTTGTATTTCCTTCAAAGAGGAGCAGAGATGTAGGGAGACAGACAAGTTGTTTAGTTTCTCATAGACCCAAGAACCAAATTCATCTTTGACTCGCAATGTCTGTGTGTCACACTGACTCAGTGCTGTGAGACTGGCAGTGTTCCAGGCCTTTGCTTGTGGGAGTCCTGTCTTTCCCTGTAATTTAAAAAATGATCCCAGGTAAGAATAATGAAGCAGCTATGAAATCATAGTGTGTCCTTTGAAGCAACTCCAAGTCTGTCATGTAGTTTTAAAACAACACAGTCTGCAACTTGCTTTGTGAGAGGTAATATTTGAAAATCAATGACATTTGAAAATGCTATTACAATATCGTAGAAATGGAAAATTTGCAGTTATTAGGATGAGGGGGAGGCTAAATACAATCATCCAATAAATAGTATCAATTATCAAGGATTTAGGGAATCCTAAAAGAATACAGAAAATCAGAATTCTTACCATATTAACATCCAAGAAATGTTTTTGAGATAAGTTGCTGTTGAGCTAAAGGCCTCATTAAATTCCCTCACATTGAAGTTGACTACAAACGATTGTTATGTTTCCCTCTTTCAAAATTAGGTCAGACTCCAGTATGCTTTGCTTCGTTTAAATTCCAGTCATGAGGCCCATTATGAGAAAAACATAGATTTGGCATTTTCTCTTTCTGAAAGTTCATTTATCTACATACTCTATTTTTTTAACTGATACTACAGAGCAAATTTAATTTATGTAAGTTACAAACTATCTCCATATTGTAGCCATTTCAGCCAGTTCAATCTATGTTGCCTGTCACATACATGAACAAAGTCCATTTAAGGTTCAAACTTTTGAGGCCATCATCCCAAAATATTGCAAAAGACTACACAGAAACACTGAAAGAAAAATCTCATGTATTTCCCACATTTGAAATTTTAAAATTAGGCATATATAATTTTAACTTAAGTCTACACATTTTTAAATTAGGTTATACAAATATCATTTGCAGAAGAAAAGAAACAGGACTCCTCTTCTCACTGGTGAACACACACGAGTTGCTTAGCCATTGAACACTGATGCCACGTAGACAGAAACTCTGGGATTACAGAAGTGCACATACCAATAACCATGCTTACTCCAAAGTAGCACTTTACAGACAGTAAGCAACTTATAAATACTTGTAATTAAGAATTGAGAAGCTGTTTTTTAAGAACAAGTAAATAAATATCACAATTTCTCCCATTTTTTAATTTACATTATAGTTGGGTTTTGAAATCTTTGGGAAGCAGTTTAGTTTTTAATCTATTACTTTTCCGGTGATATTCAGGAGGGAAAAAATTTCTCAATTTTTTTTACTTAAAATAGAAGCAACACTTCTGAGTGTGTCTAGGTACTTTAACATTTCAACATCATTAAGCAAAAAGTATTGACCCTGTCTTCTGACTTGGTGTTCTTAACAAAAATTTATTTACCACATTGTAGTCTCCAGAATTTCTATCCACATGGAAATTTTATACTTAGAAAAGTTAATTATAATGTTATTGAAAAGTATATTTATCACATAATAGTCAACATTTTCTAGAATGGTTGATGATGTGTAGGAAAGTAGAAGAAAGGATCGGAGGAACAAATTCTGCATGTGAGAAAGTATGCAGGGGTATGTGTGGGAGTTCTAATCCACTTAGCACATCTAAAATCACTATCACTTGAAAAGCTGTGCAAAGAGTGTCTCCTGAAAACTCAATATCCCTTTCTACAATATATTCTGTCACTCTTGAAGTACTGCAGAAAAAAAGTAGGTGGACATAGAAAACTCTAGAAAGTAATCTTACCCTCATCTAGACTTGTGTGGTTTCTTGTGAAGGTGATAGAGTTTCTCTATTTTTGACAGGAAAATGTGATTGTGGGAAGCATAGACTATACTATTTTAGCTCAGAGACTCAATCAACATCTTAAAATTTCTTTTATTTTTCTGTTTTTTCATGACACTTAAACTCCATTGAATTCTTAAGTAGCAAATGAATACACTTTACACACACCTCCACCCTGACCATTCCACATCTTCCACATCTAATTTCAGTGTTTTTCACTATTCCTGAAATCATTTTTCATACAAATACTACACATCCATACAAGGACCTAGCCAAGAATATAACTCTGATATGCAAATCAACCAATTCAGAGCTTAACTTCTCCATTGGTCCATATATCCCAGCAGCAATATTCCTGTGCCTTAATTTTCCTGGGACCAGTTATCAAGCAATGAGAGGTCACCTTATAGTCCAAAGACCATTGAAATTATTCAAAATAACCACCCTAAACTATTTATCCTGTCCTGCCTGATTTCTCCATCAAAGCCCAATAAAGATAGTGATCTAAGCCTTGCCCTTGCTCCTGTCTTCTGCCTCTTGACCACTTTGATGTCTTTCCCATGTGACCCTGTATGGCATACCATGAATCCTTCTCTACCATTTGAAAATTATTGAATAAACTTTTCCTCCAGAGCTTCTCCCATGTCTCCTCTTGTGCCCATAGTTGGCTGACCACCCTACGAAAGAATACAAAACATACTTTTACACATACATATATACTCATGCACATACAAGTCTACAGGCTATTTTTTAAAAATTGAATCATATTCAAAATTTTCCATTCCATCTTTTTCCTAATAAGTATCATATGTGGCTATTCATATCTTCATATATCTTTTCAATAACTGGGTATTTCCTACCACTCTGTGTACTGACATGATACATGTGTGCATAGATATCTTTAGTTTGAACTTTCACGTATGCTCTCCACACATTTCTACTGTGCCCTAAGAAGGCACACTCCCTTGGTTTCCCTTGCCCTCTGATTGACAAATAGGAAGCCCTTCTCAAAGGTTAATGTATAGGAGAAGGATGCAGACTGAGTATTTAGTCCATGGTTCCCCTTATGTACTTTTGACACAGCAACTATGTCTCTGAACTGATGACTATTTCTTTTCTCAAGAGGATCTTCTCTACATTCTCCTTGTGAGCTTTGGTCACAGAAAAATCTGTGAGGGAGGATAACAAGTCCATTGCCATTTAAATTCAGTTATTGAAATAACCAGGTGTTTTTCTTATATTCTCAATATACCTTTAAAATAGTCTGTCAGTAAACAGATCATTTTCAAATTATCATGAAATCTCTGTTTTTTTGAGACTCAGGATGATAAAAATTATTTAGTTTTTCCCTGCTGATAATCATTCAGTTTGTTTTCAGTATTTTTGCCAAAATAAACATCATTCTACATATACTCTTAAGTACTGCTTTAATTTCCTAAGATATTTGCCAAAAATATGAATGAACATTCATTCAGAAGTTAAGTGCATTTTTAATATTTATAGATATTTCCAGATAATTTTTAAAAGGTTTGAGGCAATTCACACTTGTTCTTACCATTTAATTATGTATTAAATTGTTTGATTTTTTTTAACAAGCAATTTTAAGTGCTTCCTACATCCTAGACATTCTATAAAGGGTTTAACAAATATTAACTAATGTAATATAGCATATAAGGTTTCCCATTTCCATATTTCCTCACCATTAATATATAATATATATGTTCATTATTCCTTTAAAATTTCTCCAGTCCAATATGTGCAAAAAAAGGGTATCTCATCATTTAAATTTGTATTTACTTGACCATTAGTGTGACTGTCTATGTATCAATCATCTACCTTGTCTAATTCCATTTCCTCTCTCATGAATTGTCTATTCATATTCTTTTCCTTTCATTAGTTGTTTATATTAATGAGACAAATTACACTGGTAGGATTTGGATGATTGTTAGCAACTCACAAAATGTAATAGGCCTTAAAATAGCTTACAATTTTCAGATTAAATAATTCTATAAACACAATGAGAAATCATATGTTATTTAACTATGGTAAGATATATGCCGCTATTATCCACAGCCAGCACTTATGTAGTAGAGTGTGATCAGAAGGAGTGATTTATATTTCAGTTATAGATCTGGAACATTTGTAGGTTCAGAAACTGTAAAAGATGCTTTTCTAAGAAGTGGCTTATGAAGTAACTGATTATGGTTAATAGGCATCTGAAATGTATAAATGTGAGTTGACCATATTTTTAAAGGCCTGAGAAAATTTTGAGTAAAAAATTCTTTAATTTTATAAATCAAGACTACATCTCTTCGTAACCCATCAGACCACAGGTACTTATGAAGAAAAAAAATCTGCAGTTAACAAAGAGTAAAGATCTTACTGATTTTAACTCTTTGTTTCTTATCACCCAAATGGGAAAATTATACACAAGGTAGGGCAGTAGTGATGATGAGATAATGGAGGTTCAAGTATTAGAAAACTCTAATCCACAATACTTTAGAGGAAAAACTCTTTTCAAAACCCAGATGCTCTGACTTTCCTGTCTCATGCTGTTTGTGTTCTCTGGACTCTAGAGAATCCTACCCACAGTATTCTGTATATCAATTTAAAAAACTGAATCATATTCAAAATTTTCCATTCCATCTTTTTCCTAATAAATATCATATGTGGCCATTCATATATTCACATATTTTTTCAATAACTCTGTATTATTTCCTACTACTTAGTATTGACATGAGTATTGACAACTTAGACAAAAACATGACAAGTAATTATCCTTGTAATGTTTAGTTTTCATGAACTTAGAAACTGTTAAATTTACAAATACCAAGCTTTTCTTTTCTTTTTTATACAGGGTTCAACAACAGAGATAGCAGTCAAAACAAGCATCTAATATTCTTAGCTAAAATGTGCCACATGAAAAATAACTCCTTTCCAGGGGAAAACTCAAGTCTGTGTGTTTGCTCACACATCAAACATATTTTTTCCCACCATCATCCTGCAACACTACATAATGCATCTGGATGACAATAATGCAAAAACTCCAACCCTGCTAAGAATAAATTATACTCAACAACTGTGGGTAATAGTAATGCACAGCCACATAAAGAACTACATCTGATGACAGACTCACAAAACTATTCCTAATACCAAATATGAATACAAACAAATGGTTTGATTTCAATTTTTAAACTACAAAGCAGTCAGCTTTTGTTACATATGCACTCTAGTATATGGCTCTATTTGATGATAAGAAAAATCATTTTTCTATTGTAATTCCTGAGGGCAAATTTAAAGATCTATATAACTCTGAGCCAAGCATGGTGGTTCACACCTATAATCATAGTACTCAGGAGGCTGAGATAGGAGTTCCAAAACCAACTTGGACTAAATAGTGAGTTCAAGGCCAGCCTGAACCATATAAGAAGACCCTGTCTCAAAAAAATAAAACCAAACCAAACCAAAAAAATCTACTTAACTCAAATATACATAGGAATGTTCATCTTATTTATGAATATTAAATTTAATTATAAAATAAATATGAACTGTAAATATATTCTATGCAGGGAATGAAGGATATTTTATTGATCTATGTTTACCTAAAACCTGTTATCAGTTCCAGTTCTGGCTAAGATGGAATCAGCACATTCCCCAAGAATGTACCTAAACTTTTTGGATTGAATGGAGAAGACCTCAGAGAACTGTGGAAAATAAATGAAAGCTGACAGATTGAAGAAGGAAAGCAAATTTGATATACTACCAAAGTGGAGGTGAGTTTGCCATTTCATTTTTCTTCTGGTAGCTCCCAGGCTTGACTCACAGGAATCCTGGGACTCGCAATTCTTCACTTTGTACAGAAAAAAGAGCAGCAAAGGAATGCCTCTGTTTCTCATGTGGGTACTCAAAAAGGAAGACCTGAGGGTTAGAGAGAGAATTAATTAAACATCCTGTGTTTTGCTTCATTTACTCTTTCTTGTTCTGGCCCTCACGCTTTCTCAGGGCAATGGGACAGCAGTGACACTAACAGTTTAAAGAAACACATTAAACTCTAAAGCAGTTAAACTCATCTTACCATTTAGAGGAATTTTGGTTCTAAGACCATGGAAAAGAATCTCCATTGTTTTATTTTATGTGTATATCTTTGCTTTTTCTGTATACCTTTGCCACTTGGTTTCAAAGGCAGTTACTGAAAGTGTGCAAAGGAGTGGGGAAAATAAAACTCTGAATTTCCAGGCAGAGATGTGGAACCAAGTAAGCTGAGAGGTGAAAAGTATCACAGACTTACCGATGTGACAGAGGAAACATAACTCATCAGGAATGCAAGGTTGGCTCACTATTCAAATATTAGTTAAAGATCAAGGAATACAAAGGAGATGATATTTCCAATTGATGCATAATTTTTTTGCAAAATGCAATGTTCATTCAGGATAAAAATTCTGAGCCAACTGGAATAGTAATGAACATCTTTTAACAAATAGCCATAATCTATTAAAAATCCCACAGGCAATACTGTGCTTAAGGATGAAAAAATTCAATGCTTTTTATATAAGATCAGGAATAAGGCAAGAATGTATATGCTAGTCACTTGTATCTTATGTAGTCCTAGATAGAAAGAAAGAAAACAATATAGAACCAATTTACTAGAAAGAATCAAATTATTGGTACTGCCTGTATAGAATAGCCAAAGAAAAAATAAAGACATTAAGAGCTAACAAGTGGATCAAAGAATACAATATGGTCATATGTAATTCAATCATATTTATATTTACCAAATTACTTCCAAAACAAAGCATTCTTGAACCAAGATACCACTTTACTGAAAATTAAAAAGAATTGACAAAAGTATTCAAAGACATCACATATAATGTATTTAGAAGACTCAATATACAAAATTTTCCCAAATTTGCCTGTATTACAGTAAAAATCCTAACAATGTTTTCTTTTTCTTACAGAGAAAAAGATTCTAAAATTTATATAAATTGTATCTAAAGAACTTGCACAGCTTTTGGGAGCAAAAAATAAATTTGTAGCACTCATATTACCCTAAGAGTTGTTATAAAGCTTTAGTAATCTGGAAGGTATAGTAGGAGCAAATGAATAAACATGGATCAAAGAAATGTAATAAAGTTTCCAGAAAAGGACTGAAGGACATATGACCCATTGAGTTTGACAAAGACACAGAGGCAAATGGAGCAAGAATAACCTTTTAAAAATGATATTCAACAGATTAAACATCTGTTCATAAAAGAAGAAAAAAAAACGTAAATCTACCTCACACCTTAAAAAGCTTAACACAAAATGGATCATAGAGCTAAATGTAAAATGTGAGGGCTATTCCATTTTTGAATAAAATTGAGCTGTAAAAGGAATTCTTGGAAGTAACATCAAAAGTATTATTGACAACAGCAAAAAATAATGAAGTGGATTTCCACTAATGTTAAATGAAATTATAATCATGTGAAAGAAACTATTAATACAATGATGACAAGTCACAGACTGACAGAAATTATCATAAATCATAAAAACTCAAAAAAATTCAGCAACAACAAAACAATTAAGACCAAATAATAGAAAAAATTATTTTTGAACATTTTACCAAAGAAGAGATGGAGTTGGCAAATGTACAAAAATATATTTAACCTTATCAGACACTGGGAAATCTACAATGAGATATCACTATGTAGCAATAAAAAGGCAAACAGTGACAATAATTTTTAAAAAATCAATGCCTAGGGTTGGCAAGGATGTGGGGCACCTAGAACTTCTGTACATTGCCAGTGCAAAGGAAAAATGGGCGCATTACTTTGGAAAAGAGTTTTGCAGTATCTTGTGAAGTTAAATCTAACTTTATAATGTGATCCAGCAATCCATCTTCTACTTTTTTTTTGTTTTTCTTTTTTTTTTCCCCATTAACTTTATTGGTACATTTTAGGTATAAAATACAGTTACATTCATCATTGGGATCTTGTACCATTACATGAGTTTCTTGCTTCTTATGTTTTTCCCCTTCCCTTGCCCTTCCTTCACCCCCTCCACCCTTCCCTATTTGCAAAGATCTTGCTTCCATTTGTTTCCTCTTATATTTTTTCCTTTCCCTCTTTTCCCTTCCCCTACCCCTCCCAATTCCTCTGCTCTTTTAGACCTTTTCTTCCTGTTACACAATATCAGATATACATTTTTAAAATTACAATATCAAGATCTAGGAGACATTACCACAGATTTTACAGAATTTAAAAGGATATAGAAAG